AACACCCCCCTCCCCCCCCGCTGCTTTTCTTATCTTTTCCTGCCGTCTGTCACCCTTATTACTATTAATAATAATATTTTTTAATATTATCATCGTCACATTTTTTTATTATTATTATTATTTATTAATTTTTTTATTGTATCTCATCCCTGTTATATAATTTTACGATACATACAAGCGTGTGTACAGTACATGTTTTCATGTCAACATAATATTTTACATACCTTCCGGCTGCCGTGACGCATGAAGAGTGCTGCCAGGGCCATCTTGTCGGCAACCGACCAGCCTTCCCAGAACAAGTAAAAATATTCTGGGCCGAGTGGGAGAATGCCCACCTGCACACACGGAATAAACAAAAATACACATAAACACCAACAAGTTATTTTATATTACTTATATTTATTTTTATTTGCAGCGGCGGCGGCGGCGGCAGCGGCAACAGCAGCAAAGCAGGACACGTTCATAAAATGCATGCTGTAGCAGCAAGTGCTCTGCTCGTCACACAATCATCAGCTGACGTACCTGCCCCACAGAGCCCAAGACCAAAGACAAGCTCTCCGGCCGCAGCCGCCGTGGAACCCTGGCAGCGCAATGCCTAATGAAGACGTCGGCATTCCTCAGCTTGTTGACGTCCATGTCAAGACCAACGCAGCGCCAGGCGCCTGCCAGGATGCTCACGGCGACAAGCGGCCTGCAAATCATACATAAGTGTGTGCAAAATATAAAAAAAGGGCTGCACATACTGGCGAACAATTATTCACAGCAGGAAGACACAGGGGAGTTGAGGAGCTGGAGTGGGAGTGGGAGGGGGAGGGGGAGGGGGAGGGGGAAAGACGAACCACAAACGAGTGTAGCTGCTGTCAGGGCAAGAGTGCACCAGGCGTAGAACTGACCAAAAGGCGTTCTTAATGAAAGCGGCGACCTCGGGATGACGTATTGCAAATGTCGAAAACTACCTACCTAGCTGCTGAGACTAAAATAAGCGCAAAAAAGAAGCAATAATGCCAAGCCGTAAAGAAGTAAAGAGGGACAGGGAGGGGGACGGGGAGGGGGGCGGGGAGGGGGGCGGAGAGAAGGACGGAGAGGGGGATGGAGAAGGGGATGGAGAGGGGGACGGAGAGGGGGGCGGAGAGAAGGACGGACAGGGGGATGGAGAAGGGGATGGAGAGGGGGACGGAGAGGGGGACGGGGAGGGGGAACACGATTTCTACCTACCGGACCGGTGTGTCGGTGTTGTTGTTAGTAGTACAACTAATAAAAAAACACATGTATGTGCTTATACACACACCTTCCGAGGCCGCAGCCCACATCCACAAATATGGATTCCATTCCGAACCCAGCTGCCTCAGCCATGGCGCAGATGATCCTCGCCATGGCTGTGGCACACAGAGAACCCGAGAAACCCAGCCCAACGGCGGAGCCGCCATCACTGGCGACTTTCCCCTGTTGTTGGGAGGCGCAGAAACATGGCCGCAGCACACATACACATTCATAACAAGCTGCTGTGGATGCAACCACCCCAAACTTGCACAGCTATATATGTATGTGCAAACTGTCGGTCGGTCCCCTTTTTCCAAACAACAACCCACAAAAACGCCGTTTTTCGTTGATCAGGAAAACATTTGCGCAACACTGTTTTATGTATATAACTGCTATAAATATAATTTCTATTGTGTAGCCTTGCTATTTTTTTTCTTCTTCTGTTTCCCCCCCCGCCTCTCACCTTGGCGGCCTGGAAGGCACGATTGCACGCCCTGGTCAGCCGGGTCACGGTGCACCTTGGCTGCCGAGCCACACGGTTTGCCTTGGGCATATCAGTGCCCTGGCTTTTCGCCTGCTGGCTGGGGGCAGCAGAAGATATAATATAGGGTAGGATGATACGGCGGCGGCGGCCCCCACCCCCTCCCACCCCCTCCCACT